GGAAACAACCACCAAAGCTCTCGGCCAAGGCAAGGAACGGGGCCAAAAGAGGTTCACGGTTAAAGCAAGGGACAACTGCCAAGACCCACAACCAAAGGCAGTCCAAGAGACAATAAGTAAGGCTTACGGTTAAGACAACAAAGGACCCAGGAAAGAACTGTTAAAGCTCACGGCTTAAGGCAGCAAAGAGCAGCTGCTAAAGCCCACATCCAAAGCACAAGGGGGGCTCACGGCCAAAGCCAACAAAAGGACCACCAAAGGCAATTATGCTTCCCTGACAAACTGAAAGGATAACTAACATAATTATGATTTTTTATTTTGGATGGCAAACTTGATTTATTCACAACTCTCAAGACAATTCAAGCCTAGCAGGGAAAGCCAAAGCACACCCAAAGACTTGCAACAGACCTCACGAGTAAGGAGTAGGAACCAAAGCCAGCAAAGCCACCTCCCAACCATTCCTCGGGTAAAGGCTGAACAAAGCAACACAGCCCTCAATCAAAACCAAACCGAGCCCAACAAGAAACAAAGCCAAAACCGAGCTCAACAAGGCTAAAACAAGCAAACACAGCCCCCACCCTAGAGCTAATCCAAGTCCAGCAAAGGCCAAACGAAGCAACTCAAAACCAACAACTATAATCAAACCAAGTCAGCAGAGCTACAGCAAGCAAACACAACCCACACTAGAGCCAAACCGAGCCCAGCAAGGCCAATCAAAACCAACACAGCTCCCCCTCCAGAGCCAAACCAAGTTCAACAAGAAAGAAAGCCAAAGCCAACCCCCAACCAGAGCCAAACCGAGCTCGATCAAAACCAAAACCAGAGCCAGCCTTCAACTAGAGACAAAGCCAAAGCCAGCCCTCAACCAGAGACAAAGCCAAAGCCAGCCCCCAACCAGAGCCAAACCGAGCTCAAAACCCAGCCATTCAAAGCCCAAAACCGTGACTCCAATCAAGCCAAAAAAACAAAATCGAGCCCAACAGGGGCTAAAATCGAGCCATACAACATTAAAGATATAGCCATTTTAAGCCCAAGGAACAACCTGCAAGTCTAAACATTCCAAACATGAAACATTTCCAACAGATATTTGAACAGGGGTGATGCCTCATGAGGAGTTAAGCCAAATTCTCAAAACAAGATACAAGGCTTTCCACATTAAATAAAATTTTTCATAGCCTGCATTTCAAGCTGGGGAAAGCCACAGGAAGTCAGAACCGAGCCCCCACATATGTATAAGAAGTAAAGCGAAATCCCTAGCATTCATTTTAA